GATTCGATTTGAAAAAATCAAATCAAATTCAAATTGCTTAAATATTTGATTCGATTCGATTTTGAGGAACCCTACCTTTAAGCATAGCTTTATAGGAAAAATTTGAAATTTACAAAAAAACGAGGTATTTCAAGTTTCCTGAAGTTATAATGCACTTGTTTAAACCTTTAGTATCGCACAAATGTTTAATATTATGTGAGTTATTAAGACTTAAAAGATTCAGAAATTTTAATAGGAAAATGCCTCGAATTTCAAAACAAGCCCGACATTTAAAAAAAGCTCGTGAAATTGAAGTGAAGAAGTTAGAAGCAATGAAAAATGACAAAAAACGAAAAATTGATAAGATTTTAAATTATATGGATGAGCCAAAACTTGAAAATACTTTAGAATTGTTAATAAGACTAAATAATACTAATTCTGGGATAGCATTAAGCAAAGAAGATAGGCAACGAATGGATTTAATTTCTTCTGTTCAACAATTATCTGATAAGGAAATTTCAGCAGCAAATCATCTTATTACAACTATGTGTTATCCCAAAGGTCCAAATGAAAGCAAACTTATTTCTCCTTATCTTCAAAATATGGTAAGAGAATCTCTCAGACTTTTTATAAGTATCAATCTACATATCAAGAATTGCAAATATCAAATAAAAAACTTAAAATTGATTATAAAAAACTTCTTCAACAAAATCAAACTTTAATTAAAAAAACACAATCTCTTGGAATACAAAATATGCATCTTATCAATCAAAATGCAGATCACATATCTAAAATTCAATCATTAGTTCGACGTTCACAACGAATTACAGATACAATCTTTCGGAAAAAGCTAAAATCCATTTTTTAAGAAAATAAGCGAGAATATACATCCAATACTATTTAGCTTGCAACTAGTATTTTACAAATTGGTCGAACATCATTAAGTTTTACAGTAGAATATATGCAAATAATTTATGAATTTCTAATTGGAGAGCCACCACAAAATTGGATAACATTATCAACATTGCACTTGGCATCAAGATATTTCTACATTACATATCAATGCTCAAATCCATCAGGCAATTATGGCCTCATCATTTGGAATTTTAGTTGATGAATCTACACAAGGTGAAGCAAAATACTTTGTTTTATGTTATCAATTTTGGAATCAGAAAAATCAAATACCCGTTATAACTGTGACTCATCTTGAGAATATTCCTAGATGTAATGCAAATACTGTATCTGATACTGTTATAAAGTATATACAACAAGATGGTATTTTTTTTGATAAATGTGCATTATGGGTAATAGACAATACAGCTTATATGTCAGGAGAAAAGAAGGTAGCTGTTATTCTCTTTAATAAAAAAAATAGCACAAACGCAATCTGAATCAGCCGTGCACTTCACATAATTCAAATTATATTAAATAACTTTGAACATGAAGCATTCAGAATAATTTCAAATAGCACTGGCTTCTCAAGAAAACCACAAATATATAATTTACTTTATTTAGCATAGCATAGAAGCTATATAATGGCTATAATTCAAGTTAGGGTTCCGCAATTTGATTTGATATTTGAATATTTGATTTAATCAAATTCAAATCAAAGAATGATTTATTTGATCA